TAAAAGCTATGTGGTTGTGTACTGGGCTTGTCCCATCTGCTTCCACACGATGGCTGCTCTCTTCATTCCACTTGTGCTGCGTTGTTCCTTTTCCCTGATTTTTCTCCATTTGTGAATTTGTTCCCTGTCCTGTGTCTGCACCACCGCTGTGAGCCCTGCCTGTTTTGAACATTGCCTCATCTTCTCTCTCCTCCTAGAGCTGTGTAGACCACAAAGAATTCAAACGCTGCGGCCCCTTTGACCCGTATATTAATGCCAAGGTGTGTACCCAGTTTGCCAGCCGGCGCCCCTCCCTCACTTTGCTCCCCAGCTCTCTTGACGCCACGCTCTGTTGGGTTCTGGGGTCATTGGCTTGGCATCCTCGGGTCAGTCTTAAACGCTGCTCGACTCTCTCTGGGGCTGGTGGAGGGATAACCCACTTGACTGCTTGGTGATTTGACAGCTGTTTTTTTTGCAGACTGACATTTCGAGCAAAGCCATCTCTCCAGGGACGGTGTCACGTCCTCCTGCTGAGAATCGCTGGCGTTAACCGCACACAGGTTGCTGAAGACCGAGTTTCAGAGAAATCTTCTTCTGATTACAGATCCTTCCCGTTAAAGAAGGATTGCATTGAGGTTGCATTGTAACTTATGTTTCTGCAAAAAGTTTACTTTAAAAAAATTTAAAAAATTCCGCTCATCTCTTGTTACCTTAATGGCAACTACCCTAATGGACAGGTGTGCCGCCAATCGGCTCTGATTGCGATCGGATGCACTGTTGGATATCTAATGACTGATTAGAACTGTTTAAAGATGCATCAGTTGGTGGGGGTGGCATCTCTTTGAACCAGGCAGCTTTCTTGGGCCAGCAGGCCCTGCTTTAAGACCTGTGATTTGAAGCTCAGGAGATCAGCGCTGTGCTGTTTGCTCACTCTCATGTGAATCATCCAGATGTACATCCTTAGCACTGCCACAGCATAAAAAAACTTACTCCAGCATTCTAGTGAAGGTGTTTGCATTGTGCACAGGAGCTCCTACTGTAGGAAGAAACTTTTTCAACAACCTCATTTAGTTTTGCGCATTGCAATTTTATGTTTCCTAGATCCCTGCAAAAAGTCGAAACGTTGGCAGCGTCTAGGTGGGCTGATGTTAGAGCAGGAAGCCGCTGTTTTGCAAAGAGGGTTTAGGTCTGTGGAATGAGCTGCACTGGTTCTGCAGTGCCTCTCGCTGTTACTGGAGTGTTTAGATGGGCCATGCAGTGCCAGAGGGGTAACAGGTATGCTCCCTCACCTTCCCTGTTTAATTAAAATTCCCCAAAGTTAAAGCCACTGGATTGTCCGCAATTCTTCCTTCCTCAAACCTTTCCAGTCTCGTTTCTCCGCAACCAGATCTTAAACCGATATTTGACCCTTGGCCGCTGTCAGTTCAGGCTTGATTAGAATTGTGTGTTGTTGGCTGTGTTCTTCCCTAGAAATGGCCACAAAAAAGGATTCTGGGAGCTGAGCTTTGGAGTCAGGATTCCAGAGTCAGGAATCCAGGGCCAGGTCTTCCCTTTAGTCAGAGCTGAGGTCACACATGGTCTCTAAAACAAGACCACACCTCCCTAATGTAAGACGGCCAGGTAAAGGGTAATTTATATTTTGTTTTCTGATGTAGCTCACCCGTGTCTCATTGTTTCGCTGCATAGGCCTTTTCCAAAAGCGGGTTAGCTGGTTCTCCTTGGCGGCCATCTTGCTCAGGTCTATATCATGTATATTAAGTGTTTCGTTCCGGAAATACCGGTTACAAATGACCCTTCCCCTGGTCATCTTACACTACCTACCCACTGACAGCATGGGGGCAAAGATACATAGGCTTTCATGAGAATGGTAGTGCGCAGGCTGTGCCGAACTGTGGTGACGAAACAGGAGCTGCGGTTTCGGATGGAAAGCTCTCGATGGTCACGAGCTCTGGGTAGTGACAATGTGACCGAATGCTGGGGAGAGGGAAGTCTGGTCTGCTGTGCCCAGCCTGTTACCACTGCAACCTTCACCAGCGGAAAGTGGATAGAAAATGAATGGGAGACTGGTAAACTACAATCTGAAATCACAGCAACCTCAAACTGGGAGCTGCGAAATAGACAGGTGTGTCTCGAACACAACGCACTGGACTGTTCTAGCAAGCGAGCTGCCCTATTTAAAGGAGGAATTGTATATCATTCCCACTAGGGAATCTTTTCCCTCTCTCTATCCATAAGAAACGTTGCCATGCAGAAATAATGGCTACCTGTACAGCACAAGTCTGCCGCTGTAGGTTTCCTGCCTAACGACAAGTCACTTGGCTGTTATTTATGTACAATACAAGCACTCAGCACCAAGAAACACTGAGACGCACAGACCAAAGTTGGTAACTTGGCAAAACCAAAGCTGTCTGACTTGTAGCCCCGAGCTCACAATTCCAGTTTCTTTCAGCCTTTTCATCGGTCTGGTCAAAACTGATGAGGCCCAGATACAAGCAGCCCATCCTTGAGAAGTTGTGAGTGAGTCTTTCGCCCTAACTGAGAGTCCAGGACAAGCAGTGTGGAACATGGACCGCCTTCTCCATCCCAGTGTAGGTTTTAACAGACTTAGGGCGAGGTTCTTAACTTCTGACTGAGTCCCTAGAGGTCAAAGAGCAGAGTCTGTTTAAGAATGAAAAATACGGAAGGGAGCTCATACAGTAGATTCTTCTTTGTGTAATGCAGATGTACTTCAAGCTAAAGCCTTTTATTGTGCACATTAATCAGAAACAACAGAGGTCTCTGCTCATCTCTTTAAGGAAATGGCTTGCCAGTTACTGGGAGAGAGGGACATAGTTAATTAACCTCCCAGGACTGAGAAATGGCTGGTTGATCGTGGCAGGAGAGATGATGAGAGACTGAGAGGAGCGCCTAGTTACGTTCAAGGGAGAGAGGGAAACAGGGGAAGAGCATCCTTCTCGCTGGGAAGTCTTTTTCCTCTGCATATCCGTGAGGAATTCTATAATCTCAATAAAGCAGGGAGCGGGGAAGGGGGGGTATTCTGCTTCTCCGAGTCTTAATTGCAAACTGGAATCGATTTTAAATGCAGCAGTCGGTAGTTACGGGTTAAAGGATTGTTTGCCTTTAAGAAACGCAGCCACTACCCCAGGAATTGCTACCTTGAGCATGCTGCATGCTGTCGCCCCAGGTCCCTCAGGAGATACTGCTGTGCTATTTTATAGTGCTCTGCAGGGAGCCCATTATACTACAAGGCCAATTTTACTGTAGCCGGCCTAATTACTAAGGTGTTGGCAGATCCGTGTAAAAAAAAAAAAAGGACATCATTTGTCGTCTTTCGTGCCTTGTTTGAAATACAACCATGTCCGCTTTCTCCTTCTCTGACTTGTAAAAGTAATATAACTTGATGGGCTTCTTGATTTAAGCCTCTTGTCCCTTTTGGCTTCTCCTTTGTAAGGTGAACTCCAGCTTTGTGGAGGTAGTCCAACACTAGCCTGTTTTAAAACCTGCTGGACTTGCAGTTATCGAGCCTGTCGGGATGTAAGTTAAAGGTGCAGTGCTCTTGAACTTGAAAGTAATGCAAGAGCTGAAACCTTCTCAGACATGAGATGGTGCTTTATTAACAGTGTTTTCATTGTGCAGTTACAGTTAGAAGTTAGACTTTCTGAGTTCTTTTTGCTCATATAAACACCAGACACTCCTGAATATATGCATATAATTCATAAAGGCATAAGGATTCATAGAAGTTCATGTTTTCAGTCTGTGATTTTTGCATTCGGAGTGGAGTTGATGACTTTTTACATGTGCTGAACTTATCTTGCTTGATATTGAGGATCTCGGCCTTCCGTTTCTTAAAAGTATCAGCTTCAACAACATGGCTGGGCATCTTTGTTCCACACTCCCACCTCCCTTTTTGTAAAGAAGTGCCTCCTGTCTTGATTGGTGGATCTTGTACAGCACTTTCTTTAAAGAATGGGCTTCAAGAGCAAGGCTCGTTCCAGACACCCACCACCCTTTGTGGAGAAAAATTCTCTGGTTTGTATATCCCTGTTGATCCTGAGGTTCGAGGGGCGCACCTTGTTAAATCCTTTGAGGAATCTGGATATTTGAATCAAGTCCCCCTTATTTTCTAGAATCCTGTTAGGCTAGGCTTTTTGATAGTTGATAGAAAACTGCTAGCCCAGAAGCTGTGACTCAGGGTTTGAATGATACACTGAATGATATACTGCAGCAATCCCTGGGCCAGGTGACAAAGCCTGCCTCCTTCCTTACAGTACAGGTCTCACAGTGGCTCAATGACCTTTGTCCTTGGGTCCAATGCTACGTCTTTATGCTGTTGACCAGACTCACTGGACTGGGCTGTCCAGCCTGTGATTAGGGCTTGTTCTTGGGTGAGTACCAAGATCGTAGAGGGCGTGGGAGGTTATTTCAGCTACATAGTTTCACAGCGTAGAAGAGGATTATGGGTGCTTTCTTGGGTTGGTTGCACACAAGATTTAGCTGTTATAATAGGCTCTGAAACAACTTGTTAAGTGTCCACTTTTCCAAATCTTTACCTTGGCCCTCCTGATGGTTTTAAGTTTTGGACTGTTCAGAAGCCCACTCGGGAAGCTTTGGATGAGAACATCTGTATATGGTAGCTTGAACTGCAGTTGTAAAACAAACGCAGATGGGAAAGAGAATATTAATAGCCTGAAATGTCCCCACCCCATACACACACACACGGTCACCTGATTCTTTGCGCTTCCAAGGTCAGTTGATTTTGAGGGTGTGCTTTTCAACCCACAGCTGTTGGGCAAGTGCCCTGCTGAAAGATGGCGATTTCCATGTACATACCGTTCCCACAGTGACAGCCAGGACCGCAAGCGAGAGACGCTGTGTGATCGCCCCCGCTGATCTGGGAGAGAGCCCCTGGAGTAGGGAAGTAAAAATTCCCTGTACATATGTCTTAACACAACCGTCCAGGAGTCAAAGATTTCAGAGTGTCTGTCCTACAGTGTGTGACCAGGACAGGTTAATGACAGGTGCTCTGTGCAGACCCGCACTCTGGTCGGCCCTGGTTTAGTTTGATTTCTCTTCCCTCTTGAGGGTGATCGTGTCCTCTGGTCTGTCAGCTGCCGTGTTGCTGGTCACCATGAACTCTGCAAACAATACCCGCTCGCCGAATCCCACTGGTGTCACTTCTAACTGGATACGAAGTTTAAAATAGAACTCAAATTGCGGAGGGGAAGGCAGCTCTGTGTAGCCAGGGACACTTAGAGGCAAATCTAGGCAACAGCAGGAGCTT